TTTCAGACCTTTGCATGCATGGTTTGAGGGAAAAAATGATGAATCATGCAATTGGATCCAACTTTACCTAAACAATTTTTCAAATGAACGAATTTTGCCGAGAGACTGTAAATCGAAATCCAGGTATAAGAAAGCTCGGAACATTTTAATACCATTTCGTTTCTTGATTTCTAAGGTACTATCTATGTTCATATTTTCCTCTCTGGGGTCTAGGTTGGTTCATTTGGTAGTAATTTTAGTAGTAATTTTCTTCGGAAGAAAAATTAATCAGTACAATTTTAGAATGTAAGCAAACTTTTCTGATACAAATTAATGCAAGTTCTTGTTAGCAAGACTGAAAAATGTGAATTCGTGTTGTAATAATGTATATAATTTATATGAGAAGTTTTACTAATTAAATGTGTAAAATTTATATTTATATATGCTTCAAAGAATGCATATGTAAAATTGGTCATTTTAGTACTCTTTGATAGTTATATACTTCACTTTAAATAAGTATAAATTATATACTTATTTCATATTTTTTACTTACATTGGCGATGGGAAGGAACAATACACGGATGATGACATTGATGATATTCGCAAAGAATGGGTATCTTATGTGGCAAACTTTATTATGCCGTGATATTTTGTATCGACATATGATTACAATATTTTTGATAACTTAATGTGAATATATTGTATGCAAATGGATTGCTTATAGATAATATGATACATATATTTAGTTTTATGAGGCATTAAATGTGATTTAGTTTGATTATTTGTCAATCTACAATATATATATATATATATATATATAATTTACGACATACAATCACGACACACGAATGTGTGTCATCTTTTCTAATGACGTGTGTTTCAATGACAAACAATATAAGTCATACATGCGTGTCATAAATTTATGACACACAAATGTATGTCATCTTCATTTATGACGGGAGCTTCAATGACGCTCAATGCACGTCATAAATGTGTGTTATAAATGCGTGTCATAAATGCGCGTCATAAATACGCGTCATAGATTTATGACACACAATTGCATGTCATCTGAGATTTATGTCGGTAGCTTCAATGACGCGCATTTGTGTGTCATTTGCACCCATAAATGACGCGCAGTAAGCGTCATTAAAGGAGTTTTTTCTAGTAGTGGCTTCAACTCCCCAACATTCAAACATTGAGCTTACACTATTACCCTATTTTTATGATATTTTATTACTTTAAAAAATAATTATCTTTTAAAATTTAAGTCGAAACTTATTTCCATTTATTTTACTAAAACTAGACTTACACTCGATTTCAAAAATATAAAGCTTACTCCCCAACTCATCTGATCTAATGTTTATTAGAGAACGAATTACCATCGATTTTTTCTATATTGTAAGTAATTGTACTATCAATATAATCAAGAAAGAAAATAAGATTTTTGCAAAGGCGAATTTAAAAAAATTTAAACTATTATTTTTATTCTGTTTTGATATTTATTTTCTCAAAAAATATTTAACATTTAATTTAGATTTCAATTGATATCCCATCATAAAAAATTAGAAGGCATCGATGACATGATTTTTTTTTAAATTCCACTTGTGTTTTCATTATCCATGTCACCATTATACGTAAAACTATGTCTCTCTTCTTCTTTTCTTCTTCTTCTCCGCCTCTTTCATCGTCTTTAGCTTTGATTTCTAGTGGCGCGTCAAATCCTCGAGATGCAGAGAGATTTAAATAGTGGTTACAGTATTGTCCGATATAATTATTGCGTAACCGCGATACTTACAATTATAGCAATAGGTCATGTTATGTATACAATCGCGATAAATACAATATAACCGAAAGTACGACCGTAACCGTAATTTAAATCTCAATAAATGCATATTCATTTTTTTTGGATAAGTTCTTAACTATAGTTTAATATATTAATGGAATGAGAAAAAAATAAAATTTATGTATAGTAAATGGAGATGGTGGGTATTATAGAGAGAAAGAGATAGATGATGGGTATTTTCACGTCCGGCCCCTTAATATTCCCACCTGTCAATGGATGCATTATACATAGCTAGTCCATATCCATCATATCTTTTGTCTTCAACAAACTCCAGTTTTCATAATCCGCCATTGTTATCGCATACAACATAAACCTACGATAGTGGCGTCAATACCCTTAAGCAATCGACTATAATCATGATCATGTGCGTGAATGCAGAGCAGAAGACCGAGTATAGTTTGCGTAAGCGCAAGTGGTAGCACGCGAGAGGTCAGAATCAAAGCACGCTTTGCTGTGTCATTGACATTATTGGTCAGTCATTTTCACGATTCACGAGCACTCTTAACACCAACAGTAAAAAAGAAAAAAAGCATTTGAATTGAGATTTTCCTTTTGCAGGGTTTAACCCAATAAATATCGGTTATGCCATTTACTAGCTCTAGCTGGCGTGGCCTGGCCTACTCTCTTTAACTTCATCTTCGTCCTTGGTCAAAAGAACCAGGCAGTGAGATATTAATAGCCGCCTGACTTGTCTTGACAGGGTATGTTTTGTCATGCTCATGCATGCATTGTGGGTCTAAGGGTTGCAGCAAAACTGAAATGAAAACCATACGTCGAGAATCGGAATACTTATATGGGTAAACTAAACATTTATTAATTAAACTATTATTTTTATTCTGTTTTAATATCTAATCTTTATTTTTTTTAAATTATACATAACATTTAGTTTATATTTTAATTTGATACCTCATAGTTAAAAATTTAACGATGATATTGACGAGTCATCAGAAGGTAATGTTATATCATCATTGAAAAAATAAAACATATCACATCAACGATTCTACCAATTTTTTAACGACGAGTACCAAATAAAAAAACTTAAACTAAACATTAGATATAATTTTTAAAAAAATAAAATAAAAAATAATAATTTAAATAATAAACGTGTAAATTATTTATTTATTTTATTGAATTCGTCAAACTTTTTTTATGGCTTACTGAAAAATCTTCCACCCCATAACATGGTACCCGCATAGGATTAGAGTGGGATGTTGATTAGATCTTAAAAAGAAAAGGCTATTAGTGATTGGGATTAAAAAGAAAAGGCTATTAGTGATTGGGATAAGAGGAACCTTATTGGTTGGATTAATGTCTTTTAGTACTTTGCTGATTATATATATGGGCAGTAGGCAGAAAATGCCCAGATAAGGCATTAAAAAAACAAATTTTCAAGTGTATTGTAATTTTTTTTACTATTATGAAAAGTTTTCGATTAAGGATTTTTTTACAGTAACCGGAGAAATGGTCAGAGGATCTGACATCTTTTGAGAAGACAATTGTATAACGCAATATTTTTTAATCTACATGCATGTACGATATGCTGTTAAATATCAATAACTCATTCAATATATAAAAAATGGGTAGTTAAATAGAAAAATGAGAACATTTATCCCACACTCAACAATAGTTTGAATTAAATCTACTAGCCCAGCGTGTGATTCGTGGTTAGAGGAATCAGGAGAGATATAAACGTGGTACTAAGCCATTATCTGCGTGTGTACATTACATTCTTTAAACAAATTAAAAATTTCAAAGTCAGTAGCCAACAATGCCATCAAAACAGATGGATCCTGGATTTCTTTTTTGGAATAGGTATGATTTTATGTTATAAAAAATATACTTATAATATTTTAAATAAAAAATATTTTAGGGACCGAAATCAATTTCAATTAAAATTTCTAAAGTGTATGAAAATTTAAAATTTACAAAGCAACGATCACCTTTAATCACCCCTTCAATCCATCGATCGTTAATTGAACCATATCCTATATGATGAATAATGATTATCAGTTTGAAACATATTTATTTATGAAATTTTTAGAGATAATATATTATTATACAATGTAAAACTCTTATAGTTTTACACGTGTTTATAACTGTTGAATAGGTAAAAATATATGGTTGAAATTAATAGTAGGAAATGAGAAGATATTTACAGAAAAAAGAAAAATGAAATTAATCTCAGTTATTTAATTTTTTCTCATCTAACAGTCCTAAATTTGTATACAATTATAAGAATATAGACCATACTCCAATTTTCTATATTGCTACAATAAATGAACAACTTTGCGCAAATCAATCACAACTTTCGCATGCTTGATTTGTTTGCTTCCTTAATTAATTAATTAAGGTGCAGCCGACCCACTTGCCTTAGTTAATTAATTGATTAGGTTCACACGTATACATAATAGCTACTTTGAATGAAAGAGTAGCACACAATTCTGTTTTTTTTTTTTTGAAATTAGCCTACTTGGTTAATATGTGTTTCCTCTACAATGCTTCTTGTTTGGATTTCATTACTATCTTTATATTTGTATATTTCCAACATACAATTTTTTATATATATTCCCAGTTGAAGATGATTGGTGAGGCATTTTAATATTTCAATCTTCATCTACCATTATTCGGATTTTTAATTTGAAATCCACAAGTGCATTAATAGGAGATATATATGCAAATTATTATATAAAATTTAATGAAAAATATATCAATCTCAACTCATTTTGAGGAATTAAAAAGATTGTAACGAATAAATTAGTCTCATTTGATAGAAACAGAAAGCTTTTATGAAGGTTTTGATGTTAACCGTCATTCTAAAAGGAAAGTTTAGTTTATTTTTTTCATATTTTTGGATTTAATATTTTTACTTTTTGTATGAATTTTTTTTTATTGTCCTCGTCTCTTTTGCGTGCATTGTAATTCTAATTCATTCTTTTGTTTTTATTAGAAAAATATAGTTGTATATTATTCTATTAATTTTTTGAGAGAGCACAATTCTTCTCATCCAACAAATGGCTTCGTCCATTCGAGTAGTTTCAGTAACATTTCTTTGTATTAACAGTTAAAAGGTCACAAATTAAGCTTTCAAACAAAATCAAAAGCTACAACAATGGTGGAGTCCATGACATGAAAAAGCAAACATCTATAACTACGTGCATAGTGAAATTGTTTGAATAAATTAGTATATTTGCGTCTCCTTTTGTTTCCACTCCAATCCTATGAACCTGCATGGCGAAAACCTAATCTTGTACTCCGAAATCGTCTGGAGTTTAGGCGACCAAACTTGTTCTTTAGACCCAACAAGCATCTCGTAATGCTTCTTCAACTCCGGTGTGCTGCAAAGGAAGCTATTCCCTTCCCCTTCCTCTTTGATTCCATTCATCAACCTTGTTATAAACTCAGGCAAAACCTTGATCAATACCCTACCATCCGTTCCTTTGACGTACTCGAAAGGGCACTTCCCGAATTGGATCGGACAGGCTTTGGGTTTAGGGTTTAAGGCCGCGAGAGAAGACGCGGACAACACATTGCATGAAAATTGGTCAAGGGGGAGAACAAAGTAAGTTTGCCCGGGCACGAGGTCGTCGTCGATGGACAAAACCGGCAGCGGGTGACCGATAAAGAAAGAGTCTGCATGGCAAACCATCTTGTCCGGGAACTCAAACATGACCTCGCCGGCTATGTGTTTTCCGGTGAGGGTTCTCGTGTTTCCTCCCCCGAAGATGAGCTTCACTGAAGACCTTGGATTAGGATGAAAGCATGGAGATAATGAATTGCCCATAGAAACAAAAGAGATGATATACAAGAGAAAACAAACAAGAGGAAAGGGTTGTGTTTATATACAAGTGGAAGGATTTGTCTTTGATAAAGTCAATTTTTGTTTGTTTTTTCGTGTAGAGTTTGATGAGGTCGGTGGTCAGCAATGGCGGATTTTGAATAACACTTCATGTATGTCTCAATATCAAGTGGATGAAATTAAAAAAAACATTTATGACTAATCCAAATGTCAACTGTAACTTGATTACCTTTTCAAATATATTAATTGTTAAAGTATATATGCAATAAAGTGTATGGAAAAATATGTTTTAGACAAATGCAAAAGCTATTTTTTATTAGTGAAACTTACATATGTATAACAATGTTTATACAAACTACTTTTCTTTAATAGATGTGTTGCACATGTATATATACGTTTGTTTTTTTATTTAGTAATTTAAATATAAAAATATTATAAGAAATAAATAATTTCATATCTTGGGTAATTAATGTAGTTCAAACATAAAATCAATATCTGAGTAATCTTAGGATGCAACTACTCCTTCAAGATATCGTCGTTGTCAAGCCCAAAACCTCTAACAAAGTCCCTTGACAATTGTCCGTCTAACCATGGCCTACAAAGGTAGTTGTGAAAGGAAAGTAGAGTGTATTCCTCCTCCACTATCTTCTCCATTATGCGTGCTACAGGACTATATATTCCTATAATCTTGAACACCCAAAGGTCACTCGTACTCGATCATAACATCTTCGACCTTGAACCCATTAGGGTTATTCCTCCTAAGACTGAACTTAAAAATATTTCGAATGGAAATCTCCTCTGAAACTACTAGCCACCTACCTTGCTTCAATAAAGCAAACTACTTTGTCTCATTCACTCCCAATTGTAGGATATCAGTCCTCGTCATCTAATCGGGTGTACTCCATAACAAAGGAAAACTAAATTCTCTCGGTAGCTTATGGATCACCTTAATAAATGTAGAGTGGTTCAAGCTTAGTTTTTACTTGCTACTCCAGTCTATAATTGACTCACTAATCTCGAATCTTTTTCCATGTCTCCACATAAAACTTATAAGGCCCCCCCACAAATCCTCTGAGGTACTTCGCTCATAGTAAAATGATTCTACAACACAATCACATATGGCACCCGCTTCCTCCATCAATAGAAGATAACTGATAAAAATCCACCAAGATACTCTGATCAATTGACTCAGAACCATCTCGTAGGAGTTCAACAAATCCTTCAAAAAGGTGAGTCAGGAGATGGAACCAATCTGCAAAATGAACAGAGCAGATAAAACCATTTTCGTTCATCGTTTGAAACTTCATTGCAATCACATAGGCAACACGAATTTGAAGGGATGTCAAATTCATTCAAAGTTTTCCCACAGTAAATCATGACTTAATATATTCCTGACCTCATTCTGTCTAGTCTTATCCGAAAAAACCACCTTCTACCAAGGACAATTAGTTTAACTCTACCTTCTTTCCCAACTTCTTCACTGCTTTTGTGACGCTCTTATTCATCGTTACAACAAAAACAAAAGCAATATATATATATAGATATTACGAAGAAGCAAACACAAAAGAAAAGAGAGTTATGGATTTCACACTGACTTTTCTTTAAATAGTAGGAGAACACAATATCTTTCAAACAATCGAAATACTACACCTTCGAACTACACCAGTCACAAGAGTGACACATGTAGAAGTTTCCACCTGATAAAAGGTATTCATCAAGACCGTTTTAAAAAGTGACTCACTAGGTGCAATAAATACTATGACACAAAAGTCTTAGGTCAAGTCAATTTATGGCATTTCCTCGACTAAGGGGGACAAGGGTTCTACCTCCTAATATCCTCCATAAGGTGTCTTTGTCACTGCTCCTTCGCCTATCGAAACCTCTAGAAGAATTTCTTCACTGATCCAATCCTTCGGAGACTCATCAAATTAGTCGCAATCTTTTAACATGACATTCGATCGATAGTCTCATGTGATCTGTCAAAGTCAAATCTACTGGCCATATTCATATGCCATGTTAACCTAGAATAATCATCATGACTCTAGGCTTGATCAAACACCAAGGGTCATTATAAAATCAATCATGCAAGACTAGGGGGACATTCTCTCTCTCTGAATCTCATATCATCCATGATCTTGAGTTCATCATTCTCCTAAAAATTATTGACTACGATTCTCTGTCCAAATTAAAAGAGGTGAATTGCCTACAACTATCACAACCCTAATATTATCCTCAACAATAATAATAACAAATACAACACCCTAAACTCAAACAAATAGTTGTAATTCTAAACTATCACTAAAACAATAATAATCATAACTAATGATATATCAAGTGCAAACTAACTAAAAGGGACAAATAGGAATTTAAAACAACTGGGAATAAGAGATAAATTTACACACGGGGCTTATACATATTAATTTAACACCTATGATAATTGAATCCTTCATACCTATATAACTTTAAGCCACGTGACGAACTCAAACTGCATATGCGGCAGCGGATAGTCGTCCAATTGACAGTGTCTTAACGAGTAGTTAAATAATCTATAACTTTGATTGTTCAAATGTATATTATATTTTTCCAAAATATAATATAACATGATATAATTTAAATAAATAGGGGTTAGTTCAGGTGGTAAGTAGTTTAATATCGTTTAAGTAAGGTCTCGAGTTCAAATCCTTGTGTATGCAGAAAATCTATGTTGGAAGATTCACCCACCAAAACTAGATGTGCGACGCATGTTAATTAAAATTGTTTATGATATATACGATTGGGATTGAAATCTTGTTGGCTTTATTCAAAATTAGGAAAATAAAATCTATATTTTAAAAAAGAACTGTTCAGATTTTAGTACTTTCAATCATTGATTTTTAAATTTTTATGTGAAAAATTAATTAGTGTGCACAAATAGCACGTTTGTATATTGTTTTTCCTTGAGAATTTGTGAAAAACGATTAACATTAAGGACTGTTTAATCATACACCATCCTAAATAATGTAAGATTTTAAAATGAGTTTAATTTATTTGATTTCAATTGTGATTTTGCAAGTTTAAGGTAACATTTTGAATATATTTTATCACCAACTATCCTAAATAAATTTTATTTTTATCATTATGCCAAGTAAAATTTTGACTCTACTTTTAATTCAAAAGTTACACCAAAACTAAAAATATATATTTAAATAAAAAGATTTGCATGATATTTTAACCAATCACTATCAAAATAATTTACTCTTTTCTCTTCCATCGGAATTCACCTAATGACGAGTATAGCAATTGATGGTGTTATTTTCAAATTAAAATAAATGGACATATCATACCAAAACTTATCCACTAATTACTGCTACCATATATTAAAATTATTTATTTTTTATTCAAAAGTTTTAATGCTTAAAAAAATAAAAATAGTATTACTTATCCACTAATTACTGCTACCATATATTAAAATTATTTATTTTTTATTCAAAAGTTTTAATGCTTAAAAAAATAAAAATAGTATTACATATATACTGTACAAATATAATAACATAATATTATGTGTATCAAATTTTTTTTACTTTTAAAATATTTTTTCACCCACAAATTCTAATTTTCTTTTAAAGAATACTAAATTTTGTGGAATTGAGTAATACAAGACAAAAAAGCTCACGAGGAACTAAAAAAATAATATACTATTAAATTTTTAAATTGAATTATTAGTAATATTAACATCTATATGTTATTTTCTTTTAAAAAAACAATATAAGACTTTCATGTACTTAAGGTTCAAGTTTGAATTTGAGTTCGAGTATGAACCAAACTTGAGTTTGAGCTTCAGTCGAGCTATGTCTAAGAATGTTTCGAGTTCAAGTTTTTTTGAGCTCAAGTCGAGCTTCATTTTTTGATCTTGAGTCAAACTTGAAAATGTTAAGCTCATGAGTTTTCGAGTCGAGTCGAGCTCAATGTTAAACTTTTCAAGTCGAGTGAAGCTCAACAATACTAGTACTCAACTCGTTTATAACCTTAATTGCGAGTGTAGGCATAAAATTACATATTAAAAAAAGTAGTATTTCCTCCCTTTTGGGATTAGCTCAGCTAACAACAGTACCACAACATCAGCAGGCAGAATAAAAGAAAGAGGCTGCAAAACAAAGTAAAACGAGGAGCATGAAAAAGAATTCAACAGAGCAGGCACATAAGAAGTAACAAGTTGCAAAGAATGAAGAAAATGAAACCCAAATCAACTAAACAAGGACCTCTTCCTCCTGCTTCTTAACTATTCATCTCTGAGACTATTATTCCAAAAGATGGTTAAGTGTTCATAAAATTATGTACAGCCATGACACAAACTCTTTACTTTCAGAACGAATGTCAATAGACAGCAGAGCTGAAAAAGAATTAAAGGCATGAAGAGGCTCACTTCCTTGTTCTAATGTCTCCTGCATGCAGGGATGGACCGAGGGGGAGCTAGCGGGGGCGAATAGCATAAAATCCTACGCCCGTCCCTGCCTGCTACATAAATACATTCACTACACTATCTCAATTCTCAAACTCCCACATGAATAAAATAAGCATCAACCCTACTATATTTGCTTCGCTGCATTCTTAACCACTTCTGATTGACGCTTAGACCGTAGACTTTAAAATCATCAATGACAGAGCTGCTTATCGACCTATAAATATATATGTGACAACAGGAAAACTAAACCTTGGTATATATTTAGCATTGAACAAAACCAAACCAGCACATCAAGACATCTGCAACCAAATATCACTAGAGAATCATGTGAAGACAAGAAGACTGACCTTTGATATAGATTTGGCACAGAACAAATTCATCAAGAGATCTGCAACTAAGGGTGCTTAAAATTTATCATCGGGCACAAATCCCATTCGCAACATTTCATCATGAAACCGAAATGCCTCCTTTAAGTTGTCCTGGGTAACATGTCCATTTATGAGTGATGTATATGTAGACCTATCTGGATCTATGCCTTTCTCTATCATCTTCCTTAATACCATTTCAGCTTCTTGCATTCTACCCTCTCTACAAAACCCATTGAGGATTACATTGTATGTAATAACATCAGGCAAAAGGCCTTGATTCTCCATCTTGTTAATCCAGACAAAAGCTTTGTACATATTCTCTTCTTTGACAAATCCATTAATAAGGGTGTTATATGTGATGCCATCTGGAAGAATTCCTTCTGAATTCATTTTCGATAGAAATTCATCAGCTCTTGATGTATCACCTGATCGACAATAGCCCTTTATGATACTATTACAAATCACAAGAGTGGGCTTAATACCCTTCCCTACCATTTCATCCCACAAGCTGAATGCCACCGAAACATGACCTTTGCTGCAAAACGCATTTATCAAAATTCCATATGAGATGTGATTAGGAAGAATCTTTCTAGAAATCATACCATCCCAGAGCTCCTTGGCTTTCTCAATTTCACCTACCTTGCAAAACCCATCAATCAAGGTGTTGTATGCAACAATGTCGGGTTTAATATTCCTTTGAGTCATTGCATCAAACAACTTTAAAGCTTTATTCATATTTCCATCCTTACAATGTCCATGAATGAGTGTTGTGAAAGTACAAAAATCAGGAAAAACACCCCTTTCTGTCATCTCGTGCAATAGATTGTCTGCTTCAGTGAGCATCTTATACTTGCACAGCCCATTCAAAATGGTATTATAGGTAACAACATCCATATTACATCCCTTCTCTAGCATTTCATCCCTGATCTTCAAAGCCTCTGACATGAGACCGTTTCTGCAGTACCCATTTATAAGAATAGTATAAATTACATTATCTGGAACCAAGCCAGCTCGCTTCATATTATTAAAATACACTAACGCCTTATCAAGATGTCCATTTCTACAAACTACCCCAATAAGCGAACTAAAGCTGACCAAATCTGGAATAACACCTCGATGCAACATTTCATTGAAAATGTCTTCAGCTTCTGAAATTTTATTCTTCCTACAACTCTCGACAAGCAATGTATTATAGGTAGTAGTATCAGGATTCAACCCTCTATGTACCATCTCATCTAAAATAAATTTTGCTCTTTCAAGATCCCCCGTCTTACACAAGCCATACATGATCGAATTATAAGTAAAAAGACCTGGTTTCAACCCTTTATTTGACATAGAATTCATCAACTCAAAAGCTTCTTCCAAATGCCCTTCACGGCAATATGCATTAATAATTGTATTGTATGTCACAATATCAGAATGAACACCCTTCTCTTTCATTTCGGATAAAAATGATTTAACACTACTGATCTTGCTGTCTTTACACAAAGCATTAACCATAATATTTAGTGTATAAACATTTAACTCGACCCCAGCTCTAACAACTTCGGTATACACTTGCCAAGCCAAATCAACCCATCCAATCTTCACTAACCCACCAAGAAGACTATTACAAGCATTAATGGAAACACAAAAACCTTTTCTTCTCAAAATCATAAATGCCTCTGATCCTTCTCTTAACTTTCTAGCTTGCACATAACTCCTAATTAACAAATCAAAAGCTGAATCATTAGACCCGAAATTCCCACATGTTGAAACCAAAGACTCCACAATTTCAACACGTGAAACACCACTTTTCCTAACCATCCTAAGAACCAAAGCCTGTGCATCTGATGACCTTCTACATCTCACAAGAACGTTAATCATTGCACTTAAGGACATGTTAGAATGCTTAAAGTTTGAGCAATTAAGCACAATGAAATAAACAAATCTTTGACCCAATTGCAAATTCTGGCGGCAATGCCAAAGAACCTCAACTACGATTGACGCGTTTAATTGAAATCGATAATTACGCAAAGAGTTCGGATTACCTAGCTTTAAACTGAACAGAATCTTCTCCACAATGAACGAATCCGGTGCTCCATCTGATGGGGTTTCTAGCGTTTGAAAAAATCTAAGATATTTCCCGGAAGGTAGAGTTTTGAGAGGGAGATTTCGAAAGAGTAGCCGCGACATGAGTGATTTCGCATAGGTTTCAAACCTTCTGTATCAATTTTGCAAGCTGTTCAATCTGCCATTGCGTAAATAACGACCGGAGAAGTTCACCGACGCCAATTCAGCAAAAGCGACGCCCCAAAAGAACTTTTCTTCATCACCCACAAATTGTTTCTTCAATCAGTATAACTTTCCCCATAATTCAAACACTACAGTATTATAAAAAAATGAAGAAACTATGTAGTACCCTAGAAGAAGAATCGTTGATTGACTTAGAATTACCTAAAAAGTTGAGAATAAAATTAAATTGAAACGAGGAAGCTGAGTGGAGATTAAATATGAAAATTCAAGCAGAATAAAAAAAGGAAACAGAAGCTGAAGTAAAATATCTGAACTCGAATATGGAAGCGGCCCTAGAGATGTCAGCTTAACTTAGGTAATAGTCTTAGTCTAGGGTTCAATAAAGTTTGAGTAAATTTTTCTTTTACATTAAAGTTTTAAAAAGTTAAAAAATTATCGTTTTATACTAAATTGATCACTAATCGTAATAAATTTGAGTAAGTATTCATTTTTCTATTAAGTTTTCAAAAGTTACTGAATGAGTACTAATATTATCATTTTGTATAAATTGGGTACTCATCACAGTAAATTTAAGTAAATATTCATTTTTTCATTAAAATTTCAAAAGTTACTAAATGAGTACAATATTGTCGTTTTATATCAATCACAAAAAATTAATGTGACACGTTTATTTAATTTATCTAACTCCGTTTAATCACATCGGGTCAAAATTGACTAGCTATTTGACTAAAACAATAAGAAGATCATTTTTAATGAAGATTTTAATTTATAAATGTTAATTTCAATAGGGAGCAATTTGAAGAACTGGTGCTTTGTTACAGACTTATTTGTAATCTTTCACTGTCGCTAACTGTTCGAAGAATTAAAATATCATTAAACTTTGAGTTCAATATAAATAATGACTTGTACGATTTAATTTATTTCAATGATTAAAAGAATAATTATTATTTTTAAAGGTCATATATTTAAATACCAACGATTCAGGTGATTGTCACCTTAGTTTAATATATATATATATATATAAAATTACTTATGCTTGAACCTTGTTCAATGCCAATGTTGGTGTTTTGTTACTTTGTTAATCTATTTTATTGATATGTTTTTAATGGTAAAATATACATTGAAGTAGTTTCATGTTTTTCAATTAAATATTATAATTTTACATTTATATTAAATAAATTAAACAAAATAGTACAACATTCTCATAGTAATATTATATTCGAATAATTTTATTTTCAAAGGTAAAAATATATTTCATGAATTAAACACTCCAAGATAATTATAGATAGAGGCATGTCTGTCCATGTACAAGCGTAGCCTGTGATACATCACAAGACCCCAAAAGTTACAAATGAAGATTTTGACAATATTTTTAATCGTTTTGCATGATGAATATTGATAAAAAGACCTTATATATCTCTAATAATTTTAAATTTGACAAATTTATTTTTATTATAAAAATATTTCAAGGTCCTCATTTTAAAAAGTAACACACGACCATATTATTTGGAACGGGACTTGAGGAACAGTAGTGTCATTATTGTAATATAATGCAATACAAAAAGAGGCAAGCTTTATATAACATAAGCAAAACAAATAAGAAAAGCAAGCATGGATCCCGTTGGAGTAGGCTTAGGAAGCATAGACAGTTGGCTCGAGGCGTGGGCGAAGCAATACAGAAAGAGGCACCGCTGTAAAGCAAGTCCAAAAGCCTCGTCCATGTTTAATTCCCCAGTTCCTGGAGGAACCATCCAGTCGAAAGAGTGTACCAACGTGCCTAAAATGTAAACCAACACGATCCGACTTATAGAAAAGCTCCTTAATCAGCGGAAGGATGAAAAGAGTGCCTTAGGATTTCATTAAACATAAGAAAACCAATATACAACCAGAGATCGACCCCCTACATAAAACAAAACACCATAAAACAACCGAAAACACCCCCACAGCAGCAACGGTAGCTCGACCTAATCCAACATATCAACCACAACAGCCTCTAAAGGACTGACCCGACTAAAAGCCTAACTCTAGGCTCGGAGGGCACCAGAAAACAAAACTCCTAAAATAAAGACCAAAAAGGACAGCTGACTCAAACCAAAGAAGCCAAAATAAAACACAACATCCAGGAGCTTCCACATGAAGAGGGCAGAAAACCGAGCTGTAGACTCTGGCTCCAAAGCTGGAAAAACGGAATCATATTCTGGCTCCAAGAACAGACAACTCTCCCTCACATTGAACCATCTTCTGCTTCTAGGTTCGGCAGTAACTAGCCTGTAATTGGGGACCCGACTCTTTCTCTTCAAAGGATTGGAAAGAGTTCAATATCCCCTCTATTACTCTAAGACTCTATTCCAAATCCTTACCTATAAACCAATTTAGCTCTACCATCCAACCTGTCAACCACATCCCCATCTTGATAGGCATCCCCATCCTGCTGGGCCTCCACACCCTTGGAACTACTAATAGCACGCTTTTTGATAATGTTAATCACGTTCTGTATCACCTTTGCCTTTGACTGGCCATCCAAATTGGATGAATCAAAAAAATCCATTATTCCCTCTATATCACGTGCAGACTTACAACTTTCACTACTTTCAAAAACTGACTCTCTCACCGCGTGTTCCAACACAATCTCGTGCTCCACCACATCCTCGAATTCCGATGGAATCATCCCCATACCAGCAACATTATTCCTTAAACCCATAATATAATCCTCTCCTATGTTCCTCTCCACTACTTCCCCACCCGACAAGATGCAGCCACTAAAACTTTCCCCCATACAACATAATATACTTTCATCGTCCACAGAACATCGCTCAGAAAACTTCTCCACTGAAGAGTCCACTTTTCTACCAGCTCCCTCAAGACAGACCTCCACCACGGGAGAAAAAACTGGCGATACACCGACGAGCTCCCCCACCAAAGATAACGGAGAGGCAACTGCCTCATCCATCAAAAACGAGTTTGCCCAGACCGAATCAGGACTGAAACAAGGCTCAAACTCAGAAATAAAAACTGTAAATAACAAATCCCCAGCTTTCAAAACAACGGATTCTTCCACACGTGTTTGGCAATTTGTAATAATTTGAAACAAAGCCCTGTCAAAAGAGCCTGGATTCACAGATCCTTCCTCAATGGAGATAAGTTCTCCTCATTTGTCTGCAATGCTTCTGAAGGTGGAAGGACTTCCACAAAAACGGTGGGATCCCTTTGCACGATAGCCACGCCCGGCGGCTGCTGCAATGAAAGTTCTCCGACCACACTTCTACTTTGCCAAAACATTTATTCAAAGCCCCCATCTGATTATTCAGCGTGAAATCCCTACTCTCTTCATCTTCAAAAATAATTAGAACTGCTAACCCGCTTAACCTCATAATTTTCGGGCCTAATATGCCTTCCTTGTGCATAATAGCAGCCAACTCTATCATCTTAAAGAAGTTTTGCACCACCCTACCAAGTTGCCTCTGCAAGTTAAAAGCTTGTCCTCGTCAACAGAACCCACAATAGGAGCCTCTGAATGCCCAACATCCTCCCTTTTACTCTTGATCTCGGCTGGTTTTAAACCAGAAAACTTCTTTCTCCAAAAAGCTACCCTAGGTTGAAATCTGGCCAAGAAAACTCTAACTTCATTACCACGAATCCTAGATCTGTCAACATAGTTGATAGCCTTCCTTGCGTCCTTCAAGCAGGTGAAACGAACAAAGCCAAACCTACTTCCTCCCTTGCTTTTTTTGTTAGGGATGAAAGAATCGACCACCTCTCCATATTTATCGAATAACAGCCAAAGACCCTTATGATGTAGAAGCTCTGGAATGTTGAAAATGATCACCGTAAAACAATTTTTCCCAGCAGAACTAATCACCTTACTTGCCATCATAAGACAAAAAGAGAGATCAAAGAAAGAGCTGTAAAAAAAACGCCTAAAAATCTAGAGAGAAGCAGGAGCTTCTCTCACTAGTCTAAAATATTTACCTCGCAAGCTTGTACCGAAACTCGAGGCAAGTTCAAGGAAATAAAGTTAATACTAATAAATATAAACAAATCTTAACTCTGCAGGACAAGACTTACCAAAAGAAGTGCCTTGACATTAACCAAACTAAGTTCTCCCCCATTAGAGTTGCAGTGTTAACCATAAGTATATCAAGAAAATCAGGCTTTTCCTTACGTTCACGAGTTGTTTTCGCATGCTCTTCCATCATCTTTGTCAGTAAAGCATCCCATCTTTTATGTAATTTCTTCATCTCACCTTCAATCCTTTGTAAATCCATCCATGCAATGGAAGGTATAAAGTCACCGATATTGAAGATTCCAGCAGATGTCATTAGCTCCACCACCACGTCTTTGAAATCATTCGACTCTGACCCTTTGTCTCGAAAACTCGACGACTGAGTATCACTTGCCCTATTATGTTGGCCATTGCACTCGTTAACATCTCTGGCACCACGACTGCCTCCCCATTTTGGCTAGACTCGTACAATGCTCGAACCATATGGCCTAGCTCAACAGCCCGAATTTGCGATCAATCCTCGAGGGCTTTACCACCAAGCATGTGGAGTTTGCTTAGTTTACGAAGCAATTTCCACCTGGGACCATAGTCCGCAAACACCATGTCTTGAGAGTTATAAGCTAAGTGGGTGGCACCAGCATGAGGTGGTCGGTTAGAGAAATTCAAGTCAAGGGTCTTAAGGAAAGCTCGAGCAGCGTCTGGGGTTGACGCCACCACCATGTTGCATGTGCCCATTTTGAGGTACATTACAGGTCCATATTTTTTGGCTAATTGGGCGAGTGTGACACGGGGCATGGATCCTAAGAGTGGAAGCACGCCGACAACCGGCCACCCTTTCGGACCCGGAGGAAGTGTTTGGTTCCTTTTTCCACCAAGCGAATGGATGAAATAACGTGTGATAAAGAAGAGAAAAGTCGCTGCTAGGAAATCCTGAAGGAATAATGTGTCTAGTGATGGCATGGTAAAACACCGAGAATAGCAAAATGTGCAGAGAAACGTAATAGGGTTGTTGGCACACCATAAACAAAGGCTTCGCTTTCAAATTTATACACAAAACAAATGATAATAAATTGAACTTAAAGCACGTCAATTCAACCTATTGAACGTCAAGTTAGGTTAAAGCACGTGAATTCAGCTTCGCCTACTGTCCAACGTTTTCCTTAGCAAGCAGGAGACAATATCTTAGTGTGAGCATTAAATGTCAAATGATTAAGAATTATCTTTAAAGATAATTGCCTTGTACTTACCCTAGATTAATAAAATAAAACACTTATTGACCCCTCTTATAGTTCAATACTCATTATGAATAAAATTCTTTTCTCTCTCCCTAAGTAATAAGAATTATTAAAAACAAAACAAACAAAACAAAAACCTTTTATTATTGTACCACATGTTCAGATAATTTCATTTTAGGATTTCATTTTTATAATATTTAATACTTTTACATTAAAGAGATTGTTTTAACAATTCTTGTTTAGGATAAGAAATTTTTTATTCATAATGGTTATTGAACCCAAACTTAAAGGAGATAGGATGTATCAATTGAGAGCTTTTAATCACATGTTTTAGAGATTATTGACTACATTAAAAGAGTTTAATTCACAATTATTAAAACAAATTAAATTTATTAAAAATGTTACTCTTGTAAGATAAGATAATTGAGTATTGTATAACAAACAAATTAGTACTGACAAGTACAAAATAACGAAACAGAAAAGAGAAGCATTGTAGTAATCCTCTGCTTTAGAGACATATTCATTCTAATTGATGTAATAGTAAAATGAACTATTCCTAAGGCTAACACAATGTTTCTTATTCCGTACCTCAAAAAGAAAGTTGGAATTCAATATAAAAAAAATATCTCAAAGTTTCTCAGTATCGATAGCATATAAATAATACAAATACCAACATGAACATTATTAATATTTTCGACTAAAATTGTCTATATTTCTTCATCAACATTCAATATCGTTATTGTTCTTCAAGGACCAATACCTAAGCCCCAAAAGGACCATTTTTAAACTAGAGAATCACACTAAAAACCTCTTAAACACTATACTTTAAGCCTAAATCAATTCCTAAGACTTATGGAGATTACATAAGGTCATGTAGCATCATAAAAATACATGTTACACAATCATTTCATCATTTGAGACATAAATTATGCATATCACTCAAACATGCTTCAAAATTATAATATACACAAGGCATCACATTCATGAATGTCATGTTATCACAAAGGATTATAAATAGAATATCATGATATCACAAAGAAATATAAATACACTATCTTGCTCGAATAATCCCGAAATGAAACTCTTTTACTTGGCTATCACTCATCTTCTTCTCCCTTCTAGCACTTGGATGCTCTTAAAGCTTTACACCTCTTTTAATGGAGACATGGATCTTAATTCGAAGCTATGAGGATGCATAATAACAATCTTGCCTTCATAAATCTCGAATGAAAAACCCTACTCTACAAAACGGGCTTCTTTGAACTATGCAAGTTTTGGAGAAGAAAGAAAGAAGCAAAATGAAAGGTCAAGGGAAAAATAAAAGCCTTCGACTTTTTACCTGTAATAAACCCACCTTTTGACCTTGCAAGATCCCAATAAATCAATATATTTTTCCTAAATGGTATAATTGCTCCTTTGATCATTTTTCATTTGTCTTCTAATAAAAATTCCTTTTATAACCAATTGGGCTCAAATTGTATCTAATTAGGCTTACATTCCGCCTAACCATTCTAATTACCAACTCTCCCCGGTCCATACACCTTTCGGGTCAACCCTCATTCATTGGCTCAAAAATCTGAGACGTTAAAATTTTAATTTTAAATAAATTCATTTAAAATTCAATTTTTCTAAAACTCGATTTAATTAAAATAGTTCAAAATATAAATTTAAAAATTTTCAAATTCAAAAAATTACTTTTATCACACAATTAAATATTATTTTATTTTAATAAATCATCAAACTTTACTTAAATTCAAAAATTAATCTAAAATGCGATATTTGAATTGAATATCCGAAGCCAACATGTTGAAGGGTGAGAGAAGGAAAAGTTGTAAACATCATAAATTCTAAAATACAACTTATTAATATAAGACTAAAAAAATGATAGAAATCAATTGCAACTGAAAATCTTATAAGGAGCATAACTTTTTAGTTTGGACAAAATAACATTTTATGTTAAAACCGAAAATGTTATATTCTTCGTAACATCAACTGAAAATGCTATAAATTTGTATAACTTATTCGATTATAAACTCTAAATATCCCGCAATATAACTTTTCGATTACAACCGAAAAATAATACAAATTTATATAACTTTTTAAATTTAACAATATAATAATTTTGGTTAAAATTTGATTTAGCTGCCACACAACCAGGCACATGCTATGTGTTCGACGAGGGTTTTACACAACCTTGGACATCCCGCAAACTGTATCAACGGTTTTTTCAGCACATGTACTTTTTTCTGACCCCTTATAAAATACACGTAAATGGACTGAAAACGCTGGCTGAATTGCTCTTATGGTGTTCTTGAACAAAATTTTGTCTGAATTAAGGTATCGTTGGAATTATTTCTCGAGATTAAGTGAATGTTACAGTAACCGGAGAGTCGCTGGGAACACAGTCCTCTTCCGAGGAAGACGTCGGGAACACAGTGCGTCTCCGGGGAAGATGCCGGGAACACAGTGCGTCTTCCCCTTGTTTATGCCGTTGAACAAAGTTGAAGACGCTTTGTATTCCCGATGACTTTTCGAAGGCGCACTGTGCTCCCGATGACTTTCGACGGATACTGTAGCATTCACAATAGACCATAAAATAATTACGGTAAGACCCTATTTAAACCAATAATTTTTTTCACAACACCATAGCAACAAATCAGCCGGAAAGGCTACTACTAGGTCACGAGAGGCACACCTGCACAATTATTTAGTGATCCCACAAAGGTAGTGAGCCAACGGTCTTCATAGTCTTTGAGGCATAATTATATAAAATACAATGTGTTTTAGATAATTATTATAACACTTAATGTTATTTAAGATTCTTAAACTTTATTTTCAAAAAATTATTGTATTTCTTGAATTACTTTTACAATTAATATGACTCTTAAATTTTAAAAAAAAATAATATGATCTTTTGACCAATGGTTTCCGTCATTAACTGTTACGATATTGATGTGACGGTTTCACGATGCTGATGTAATAATCCATAATGGCTGATAATGTGACATATGAGTTAAATTGATTCTTTTGGTCTAGTTAAAGAGTTAAATTGATTTTTTAAGTTTAGGAGTTTATTTTAATTTTTTAGAATAAAAATTAAAATTATTTTAAATTAAAATATAAAATATAAAAAAATTGAATTTAAAAAAATAAATATTAAAAAGTAAAATTAAAATAATAAAAAATTATATATATATATATATAGTAAGATACTAAAAATTATTAAAAACTAAAATATTAAAAATATATCATAAGCTATAAAGTGATAAATTATTAAGAGATTAAAATTTTTCAAAGAAATATATATTACATATAATATATACATGAACATATAAACATAAAAATAAATCAATCATATTCATATAGTTGAATTAATAAATATATACATGTAACATATAGAAATTTTTTTATCATACATATACACATACTAAACATTATTTCATAATCATATAGTTAAGGATGAGCACGGGTTGAATTGGTTTCCATCCAACTCGACCACACCTGAAAAATATACACTTTCCATCCAATGATGGATCCAAAATTTTTTAGGGTAGACAAATATATGTTAACAACATAAAATTTTTGAATGAAGTGGACACAAATAAAATTTCAGGGTGGGCATCATCAATAAAA